CCCGAACAAATTTTAAGACTTTTCCTGAAAACGAAAAAAATCATCGCGACCTATAAAAGAGTCTGAACTACGTTCATTGACTCTTAAAAATTGCTTTTTAAACTTAATGCTAAATCCAAATAACACCCATCTATTTAACTGCAGCTTTGCTCTACATTTTGTGCTGCAAAAAAGGGCGACACATGCAGCATGCATAAATAAGGTTAAAAAAACTCAATAAAATTTACTAAATAGGATAAAAATTCAATAATTAAGTTGTTTCTGAGCCACTGCATTTTAAGTATTGAAGAAACTCCTGAAGGATCTAAACTTTGAGGTCTGGGAATAAACCCCGGATTAGTGCCCCGCATTGATTATTCCAAACAGTCCAGAGTAAGTGCGCTACAGAGTGTCAGTTACTAGATGGTCTGTCGGTTAGTTCATTTTGAATTCTTCTCAGAACGTTCGATATCATATGCTAGGTATAAAAATAGATCTTTTGAATCTTGAATTCTGTCAACAGAATTTCTATTTCTAATTGCGTAAATTTTGACCATTGATAATTTAAGACAAAAATATCCCTCGAACAACTGCTTTTCTTATACGTACTCACCACGAAATGGCAAACTACGCACTTTTTTCCATCAAATTCAGATAAAATTTCGATTAAAACTAATAATAAGAAAGCTGTTTGAGTCTTCATGGCACAGTGCTAAGAGCACAACTTCCAGTAAAGAAGCATAAATCAGTTTTAACGTTCATTAATCTTTAAACAGCTACTTCTTGAAGCTTATACTATCCCCTTACTGTTTCTAAATACTGCACTAAGAAGTCAGAACACCTGATTACAATCTCAATTTTGCATTTTTACTTTTGCATTAAGGAATTAAATTTTCACAATTAACGTTGATCAAAAAAGAAAACAACTCACATCCATAAGGGAAAAACCAAAAAAAGTGCTGGATTTTTTCCCAATTTTTAAAGCAACATTATTGATGTCAAAGTTTTCCTTGCTACTTTAATACCAAACAGCTAATCATGTTATTTTAAAGCTGATATCAACTGTTAACACAGGCGAAGGGAAGATTCGCACCAGTTTCGATGAACGCAAATATAGTATGACAAAAATTGACAGCAAATGAGACTAAAGCTGCGAAACGACGCATCATAAAATTGACAAAGCCGATATAACATAAGCTGACCCCCGTTGAACCGAGAAAAAAAGAATGAAATTATTCACAATCAGCGTAGAAAATTAGTAAAATATGCATGATTGAAAACGTTTGTTTCAAAAAATGAACATAAAAAAGTGAAAAAAAAGGAAACAAATTATGCCAAACAAGCGCTAAATTATACATCCAAAACTAGTTTTCTTTTGGTGAGGTCAAGTTTTTTTTTATCGTGAAAGTGTCACAAAAACAAAAAATTTGCATATAACGAGCGTTACTCAATCGCTTTACTTTCTCGAAACTAGACTGAATCTCAAAACAATCGAACCAGTTTTTGTCAACACGGCGACAATTTTATTGAAAAATTCAAAAAAAAACGATGATTATTTGTGATACCTGATTTTGCGTGGAAATTTTACAAAGAAAGTAAAAAGAAAAACACACCCGAATACAAAGTTCCTACCTTTTTTCAATAGACGGAACAAAAAGCCTAGTACAGAACAGATCCAGATTGAGAACAGAAAAAGCCAAAACAGATCCTTGAGTATTCACATTTGAAACGGTTTTCGAATTAAATCTCCATAGTTGATCATACCGCATTGATTACAATTAGATAGATAGCTGAAAAGCCCTAATGGACGAGGCCCTCAATACAATGCAGCTCAAATTATCCAGGAGCAGCGCCCGACTTCATATATTGAACCTTTTTTTCATATATATTTTTTTAAATCATCGATTGTCTTTGTTACTATTGATTTCCATTTTTCGGTTAATTCCGCTAAAACATCGCTGGTTGCAATTTTCTGACAAAGGCCATACTGAAAATTTTGCTGCATCTTTGTAATTTAGCAAAGCTTGTAATTAATTCGATATATCACGCTCCCAGATTTATGAAATTGAACGATTAAAAAACTTTTGAAAGTTTGGCAAAACTAAAGAGTCAAAGATAAGATTAATCTATACAGAAGCGAAGCTGAGCTTCGCACCACATGCGATACTACAATTATAAGTTGAGCCCACCATGAAGCTAAAAAATTAGATAACAGAACTTCGAACTATTTAACAATCAAAAAAGGAAGTGGAAAAACGAGAAACAAAAAATGCTTGTGTTTGAATTTATTTAAGTTTTTCAAAGTGTGGTTGAACTTGGGCAATCAAAAAATTGATGCCGAGTCTTATTGATCACAAGAGAACTACCGGATATTTTAAGGAAATGAAATCGTTAAATAAGCCGACAGATATGAAGGCGACATCCAATAAGCTGAAACTCTTTGACAAAAAGTTTTGACAAAACAAATAGGAAAAAATTTCTTGTTACGCCTAAATAAGATCCACGGTAGCCATATAAGTAGCGTATGCAAAGTAGAGTAGACTACATAATTTGAAAACTGAACCGACAGAGCTTAAGTCGACGATCTTGAAGCCGATGAACCATCAGTAGAGAATTAATATAAAAACTCTATAATTACACATACAATGGTTTGAGTTCTAGATGTAGCATGAGTAGTAACTAGTACCCGGTAGTTAAATTTGAACTTTCATGAAACTGAGCATGTTTGCTGCAAAACATCATCATAAGTGATTAAACTGATTGTGTTAAACTAGTTGTTAACCCGAGTAAAAGTCCATATTCCGATTAGATAATGCTTGCTAATCGCAAGCATAAATCTTTTAAGCAAAGAGCGGCGACAGACATATTTTATCAGGAAAACGCGGTTAATATTATCAGCTTCCAAGGGCTTTTTTAAGTTTGTGGAGTAATTAATGTAGAAAGAATACTGCGCTGAATAACCGTGAGCACAAGCAGTGTCGATCAGGTGAAGATCATATTCATTTGATATAGACTTTACCATCTAAACGTTGCGTATATCATAAGCATCTCTCCAATAGTAAGATTTTGCTCTGCAATTCGAAGAGAATGTTCCATTAACATATTTATGATATAAAAAATTAAGTTTAAATATAAACGTGATTGCCAGATTGATGCACCGGCAGCATAGAGTGTGATTAACCACTATTTTTTTCCAAAAAAAATTAAAACAACCAACAGTAATCGGATTTTTTTTCTGCGTTTGTTGATGAAATTTAGTGATGCTTTTTCTGGCTTAAGGATAAGTTGAAACTACTACGAGCAGAAATGAGAATTTCTTTAAGCTGAAATGAGAAAACCTTCAGACACCATAGTTTTTCCTTGAGTGAACGTACAACCAATAATCGAACAACCATTGACAAAAATATAATGTGTTATTTCCAAAAACCTTATAACCAAACTATAGCAACAGTAATAACAACAAACCCAGTTTTCAGCAAAAAAAGCTGTTAAATTAACATCAACGTCTTCCGGGACAATATCAACATCCCAAATCCCGCTGTTGAACATATCGATGTTAATTTCCCAGCTGAAATATGATTTTTTTTCAGCAGTTGTTATCATTATTTCATCCAAAAAGTGGTCCTCTTGGAAAATGGATGTTGGAAGAGCTGTTCATGATTGAGGGTGCAAATGATGAAAAATCACAGGAGTTCGACACCCTCACCGCTACCCATTTGCGGCCGACTGAACTAAATTTTTCGTGAAAAAAAAAACTTCTCAAAAACGACATTTTTGGCACGCTTTGCCTGCGACGCAGAAAACTTTTCGACAAAATAGGTCATTTGGTTGTTTTGTAAAAGCTTGGAAAAGTAATTCGGTTAACCAAAAAAGGGAACCGAATTCTATTCCGCCTCCTTTTGAGAAAAGCCTAGAACCGCCCCCATGATCCGCCTCCAAAAGTATAGGAACTGAGAATTCCTCTTCCTGATTTATTCAATCCTGATTTATTCAAGTCAATTTTTATCGTCACTGGCCAATTTATTTGGTTGTATTTCAAAGAAGCCAGAAGAAACAATAAGTTCCATTTTATTTGAGATAACAACCTAGCACGACAAATCTTATCTCGAGAAGTTGTAACAAGCAGAGCTGAATAAGTTACCCTAAGGTAACATTTTAGTGAAGAATCCTCAAAATTAACACACCATTAGCAGCGGACAACTTCTGAAGCGCAAAAATTCCCTCAATCTGTGCAGAGTTAGAACTGAATAGAATTTGCAAACCTTTCAGGTAAAAATCAGTAGTGCATTATATCTAAAGTTGTTATTCCCCCTAAATTTATCTCTAATCCCGGCAGAACAAGATTAATTTGACAGAGAGAAGGACCCTTCCCCCTTGATCGTCACATACCCCCCATTCGTGATATCCCTCCCCCTCTTATCTACAACACATCCTTAACCCCCAAGACTGTACCGAATTATAACATGGGCAGGGAAGTCTTTCATTCTTTTGTCTCCTTTTCTTTTTAAAAAATAAGACGTCTGTCACCAAAATGACAGACCGAACTCTAACCAACCTCAAATCTCCCGCAAGTACAAGTCCCCTTTTTAGATTATCCAACACACCGAAAAGCCCAATTTGTACCTTCTATTTTTCTCAATACTACTTTTGTCTTTTACTCTCACGTCTCAAAAGAAGGCTTCGCTTTTAATTTCCATAAATTGTGACAAGAAATCAATGAAAATAGCTCTGAGTTTTTGGTTCAAAAAACTTATCAAATTGGTGTTTCAGAACTAGTTTTTGATTCAAGAGCGTCACTGATTGGTAGACAGTTCAGTCCACCTTCTAAAAATATTCCCAATTTGCTGATTGACAAAACTTAACTGATAACCTTTTTCAGACAGATTGTATCTCAGCATTTCAAACTGTATCCTGAAATAGAATAAAAAAATCGCAAATTTATTTTTTTGCACTCCTTTTTTGTGAGCAGCAACAACTTCCTATTAGAAATTATCATAAAATCCGAGCAAGTTTAAATATCATTGCAAAGAATTTGATTCCTAAATTATTTTGATCTCATTCCAGCGCGGTTTATCTACAAACACTGATTCCAGTATAAAATATTCATTTTGCTTAGCTATATTCTAATACTAGTTTTAAATCTCAGATTTTTGCAAACAAAAATTTATCAGGTCATTGTTTGTCTTCTTCCCAGTTCTCATGGAGCAACTAATTAAATTAATTATCATAACCTTGTTATCACTTTGCTCAATTCTACCATCACAACAATTAGGCCAAGAAAGGTTTCTGAAGGTGAGCACTTATTTCGAGGCCAGTGAGTTACAATACGACACGACTATTCGCGACTTTGCAGCCGAGTGGAATGTACAACACAGTGTTTTCAAAGACGAAGTTCAGCTGGTAGAAGACAGCACATATCAGCTCTACTCAAGCCCTTATGACGCGTTAGTACTCATACTTTTGCTTCAAAGCGGAATTCTTTTTCGGAGATAGCCCATTTTTAAACAGAGGCGATGCCGAGCTTTGCAGCAATTGCAATATCACAAACATAGAATTTCACGCTAGCTGTCAAAAAATGAAACTGAAGACATTTGGAAAAAAAACGAAAATATCGAAAAAAATCATTTTCTCTCGATTGATGTTTAATTTGAACTAACAAGGTCCAGCAACACAATCATCGACATGTAGCAAGTATTCAGCAGCTTTTATCGAGCGGCAACTAAGATGACAAAACTTGGTCAAGCTAACGATGAGCCGAAAACAAAATAGTTGTCATGAAAAGCTTTGAGCTATTAATTTCTGAAATTCTTAGATTTTATCCTCTTGGGTTTCCAACGGGGGTCAAAAAAATTACGCTTCCCTTTAAACGATACAAAAACAAATCACTAAGCCGATAAAACCTCAGCATTAACTATTTAGGCCGAATGAAGCTTTTCTGCGAAAAAAAAACAGAAGTAAAATATTCTAAGTCAGGGCTAGTTAACTTACTCATTACTGGAGTAAATCAAACACACTTGCAACTACAATCAAAACTGCTTACAACACAAGACAATGTCGCAACTAGGTCGACAAACAATTATCACACAAACGATTGGACGTTTTTTTTAACGTATTATTTAGTTTAAAAAAACAGGTCTTGCCCGGATTCAAATCTAGGACCTTTGCCATCCCAGGCATAGCCGTTACCTATAACGCAAGTCAGTCAGAGAAGCCAAAAAATTTGAATTAGCATCATTTGAATAAATCAAGCTATCAAGTGATTTTTTCAAGCAACTTTTAAACCAAAAAAAGAATATAAGTCGATTGGATAACGATTGCTATTCGCAAGCGTAAATATAAATATTCAGATACTGCTTTTTTAGTTAGAACAAAAAAACATTCGGCAGTTTTTTTTTGACACTCACTGAGAAAATTTTTGATAATTTCTTTAATAAATTCTTTGATAATTTCTTTGATAACTTCTGAAATACCTTCAATATGATACCACAACCCAAAGCCCAACAAACTTTCTTTGGTAAAAAAAATTTGGACTCTGAGAAGCAGAAACAGTCCAAAACTTCGAGATTTTCTAACTGTTTTTACACTAATTAATTGAATATTGTTGCGCTTAAAAACCTGAGCAAATCTTTTCACCAAATGCACTCGTTTCAAAATCTAAATCACGCCTAAGGGTCGAATATGATAGATAAAAACTTCAAGATAAAAACTTCACTTTTATTTGGACTATCTACAAACGGGTTCAAAAATAAACGAGGAAAAAACCTTATCATCGCTTATTTTAGGGTCAAAAACGCCATCGGTCTCGTCAAGTCTGGAGGCCACGTGATCATAGCTGTCAGCAACTGTCAATCATCTGTTGCACTGAAATCATGGAGTGATACTCACAACATACCACTAGTCTTAATGCCAACTGAACTTTGCAACCAAGTAGCCGAAACTCGAAATACCGAATTAATTGACCAATCAGAAAGCAGCATTCAGAAAGCCATCAATTTAGGCACTACATTATCCATGCAATCTGCAATTAATGAACTTCATTTTCCTGCATTCGATTTAGCAATCATGCTTGGTTTCACAAGAATAGTTCTGATCATGGACGATTTTCACTACTCACGTTTGTACATAGAATCCAACGCTATCAATTCAACATTCAGAAGACAGTCTAGTTTCTTTGTTTACCGAATGGACGAAGTGAATGATTTTTTCGACAAGGACGCAAATAATGCCGGCCAAGACAACTTCATAATTCTTGGATCTCTCAAATCATGCCAAAGATTCTTCTCCAAAGGAAACAAACACTCGCCTATTTTGAAGATCAAATTCACCTGGATCATTTCATGCACAGGTCTTACCGTTGAAAATTTCAATCTCTTGAGATCTAGCATGGCTAAAATGTACTTAGTCACCAGTCAGCAAGACCTCTCGACGAATGTTCTAGAACGTCTGAAAGCCTCGCTTCAAAACATAACTCGAACAATTGCCATGTCCTTTGAGGAAATGAACACCAGATTCCCGACTCCGATACCTGTCGATTTTTCAGTCTACAACGGATCATGGAAAACTATTCCAGAATATTCTAAGTGGGCAGCGGGTGTTGAACTGATTCAGAACATGAGGGATCATTTGAAAAAGGAAGATCATTCAAACCACGCGCACAGAAATATATTCAACGTGTATTACAGGAACATCGAGCACAAGAATTGGACCAAACTCGGTCAGTTTGTAAATATAATTCAAGACCTCCCAGACCTTTCACACATTCGTCTCCTTTTTTAGACCTTTCAATGGTTTAGTTTTTTTTGTAGAAAAACCTATCAATTTCACCGAACTAAACTTAAACAGGAAAAACATCTTCGGTAGTTTTACACATAAATGATGTCAAACTATAAAAGACACCTCAAAACAATGACAGACTCTCAATAGCTTTTCCGATGGCTTTTCGCGCTTTAAAAACGATACGAAGTGGTTTTTAATTAGTTGAGACGAATATTTTCATACAGACATAAAAATATCGAATTAATCACTGCTAACAAATCCATTTTCTCGTCCACAGGAACTTGGAACCGACAAGGTGGTCTGGACTCCTCAATCCTCTCCCACTACAAATCTACTCTCTGGGACCCAAACCGAGTCTTGCGAGTTGTCACAGTCATCGAACCGCCTTTTGTATCCCAGGAAAGCGATAGATTACAATATCAGGCATTTTCCAAAATATTACACAAGAATACCAGAACTAAAGCTACTTGGATAATCATGCGACTATAAATTAGCTACTCCTTATTTACTTGCGACTATGTAGTTATGCACTAGCGACGCCTTGTTTAAAATTAGGGGCGTATCTGGCATTTTCGAGAGTGGGCGGATTTTTGTCAGAAAAAATCGAAAATTTCTTTCTTATTTTTTAGATCTCTCCAAAAACACGATAACGACCCTGCTCTGACCATTTTTTAAATTTATGGAAATACAGGTTTCAAAAATTCCGCCCAGGTTGCAACAACTCATTTCCTTTGTTCTAGCTAGTCACGACGAAAACTTAAAAAAGCTAACAATTTTTAGACCAGAGAGTTTCAGCTTATGAACAATATGTTAGTCTGCCGCTTACAGTAAATTTTTTTGTAGGCTGGCAAAAGTTATCTTTTCCCTTTTCTGTAACCTATGTGCAATTGGTCCAGCTACAAAAATGATATTGTTAGATGTGCCTGGTATTGCAACCTTTCCTAATTAGGAAATCGGGTCTGAAGGCGTGAAGTACTACGGGTACTGCATAGACTTACTAAGTGAGATCATGAGACATTTGGGATTGAGATACGAGGTGTACAGTGCCAGTGCTTATGGGTCTCTAATTGACGACAACTGGAACGGAGCGGTGGGCGAAGTGGTATATGGGTGAGTTACACCTGACCATGAAACCTTCAAAAATCGCTTGATTTCAGAAATGATCAGTTTAACACTATTAAAACATTTTCCTTTAGCGACAGATCTAACATTTCCAAGAAGCCTCAGATCACAAAAAAAACTCATGCCTATGAAAACTTCAATGCTTCCATATTTGAAAAAAAGAGCATTTGAACTTCTTACTTGGGTCGAAGTTTATATCCGATTTTTTAACGATGATTATCTTCAGGAAAAAACCCATTCAGAAAAAACAGGCCTCGATCAGTTTGTTTTAAACTTTCTGCATTCAGGCGCGCTGACATGGCAGTGAGTGGTATGATCATCACTTCAGCTAGACAGGACGTGGTCGACTTCTCCTCTCGCTACATGGACTACTCAGTTGGTATTCTGATCAAAAAGCAGTTCCAGACAGACGACGGATTCGGATTCCTCAACCCACTCACCCAGAACGTGTAAGCTCTATAGGTCTACCTAAGGTAGCTTCGTAAAAACATGATTATTTGATCTTCAGTTATCTTTGCCAGTCTTGCCTATTCCATACTTTCCGGTCTGTCACCAAAAAAAAGCAGTCATTCCAGGCCCAGCATGACCAGTGATGATTGCCGAGCCCGAAAAAAAAGAAAGTATTGGTGTAGGTCCTAGTCATGCGCACAGCTGCGATGGCGCAACTGATACTTTGTTATTTTTTTGACCTCGAAAGGCTGAAAAATACAATTTTAACTCTCACCTGTGATATATTTATCCAGACGCCTCCCTTCATAAGCCCATAAAAAGAACTTCGTTTTTGGTTAGTTCAACAAAAAAGTAACTCTTTCCAGATGGGTCTCTTCGTTTTTGGTTAGACCAACAAAAAATAAACTCTTTCCAGGTGGGTCTCATTCTGTGCCCTTATCTTCGCCGTCGGCCTATTAATGTACGCTTTGACCAGAATCAGTCCCTCGGCTGAGAATGTGAACGACTTGAGTGGCTTCACTGACTTGTCCAAGTTCAACATGCGCAACTCCATCTGGTTCATGATCTCCTCCATCATGATGCAGGGAGTGGACATACAACCGGCCACACCTTCAGGTCAGAGGCCATAGCCAGTGACCATAATTGGAAATAATACTCCCCAATACAGACTCGTATTCCCCAGCATTAAAGAATCGTATATGCGCACTTTCAGCTCCAACATCCAACATTGCAATTCTGGTGTTTTATGATAAAAATTTTCATTTTTCAATTTTCTTACAGACTTCTAAAACTAAATTGTTAGGGAAATTTAGACGTCACGTAACTACCTTAAACATCTGACCAATTTTTCATTGGTTTTCAATATCCAGTAAACCAATAGAACTTTCTGTTGGTTCGTTGACGAGAATACTTGCCAAAATGTGAGAATATTAAACTTGTCAAAAGCACAGCTAACTTTAGAACTACCTGCAGTTCTGAGCTTGGAGGGAGTCGTCATTTATCATCACTTTGAATGTTTCTATTCTCTATTGTGTTGTTCCGGTCGAACCTCACACACCTTCTGGTTATTCGGCGAGAAAAAAGCTCATCCAAATTAAAGCTCATCCAAATTACGATAAGAATGCTAATCAAGATAAACAACGCTTAAGAATTACGCGAAGTCCTGCTTACAATGTTTCTCTTCTATGTTATATCCGTTATAGGTCGAATCATAGGCGGATTCTGGTGGTTTTTCTCTCTCACTGTAACTGCGATGTACACGGCCAACTTAGCGGCCTTCCTCACTGTGAACAGAATGGAGACCCCGATAGACTCCCTGCAGAGCCTGGCCTACCAGAACAAGATATCCTACGGCACAGTAATTAACTCACCCATACATCTAGACTTCAAAGAACAGGTGAGATTATAGAGTTAGAACTTTAGTGCGCAGATCTTCAAACCTTTAAGGAAACAGAAAAACAAATTTAGTCATTTGTCCTTAATTATGACCTTAATGACCTTTAAATTTTAAGACGAATCTATATTTTTAACTCGTTTTCGATAAAAAATTAACTCAACTTGAGAAAACAGGATCACTAGCTTGTGTTTTATCAGGCCGAGATGATTCCCCTTTATGAGCGCATCTACGCGGCACTGGTGAATGACTACAAGCCCAGTGACAACTTAGTGACCACAGCGGAGGAGGGATTTGAGAAGGTGAAGAGTGGACGATATGCATTCATGTGGGACGATGCCATACTGCAGTGGATTCAGACCATACATTGTGAATATATAAGTGTGGGCAAGCCATTCATGAACAAAGGTAGGTCAATGATGGTGCGAGGCCACTGAAAGGTCGTTTATGGGAAGTGTGCGACCATTAATATCTTCCTTTCACTTGGTTCAAAAGTTCTAATGCTAAGCATAGCTACAGGATCTTTAGAGGAATGATTAATTGGAAAAAAACCATGTGGCAATCAATTTACCTAATCTATGGATAACAGCAGCTCATTTTGAGTATTTGAGTGCTTGCTTGATTTTGAGATCTTAACGTTGTTAGATAGTCATCACAACTAGTTTGGCACAATATATTTGTTTATTTACATAATTTAGGCTACGGCATAGCTATGACCAAAGGAAGTGGACTGAAAAAGAACGTCTCCTCTGCCATTCTGATGCTGCAGGAGGACGGGAGACTTGAGAAGCTCAGACAAAAATGGTTCCTCAATGCCACCGAGTGTGTCACAGGAACCAAGGACACAGACCAGGCCAGCGAGGAGGACACCAGTACAAGAGGTCAGAAAATTTGATTTTCTCATGTTCGATTAAATGATTTGAAATATCTACCGCTTTAAGATAGCTTCAAAACGGTATGTCAGTATAGAGTGACTGTTTGAAAAAGCCAGTAAAACAATTTTAGGTAAAAACAAGTTAAAATAATCGATTTGGCATTCCTAAACAAAGCAAAAAACTTTTGACACAGACAAAGTTTATAAATTTCTGAACGAACTGAAATAAGTCGAGGTCGATTCAAAAAAGAAAATAATAGTTAATTCGGGTGCAATCATCACAAAATCATCACCGTAGCTATCGCTTAAAAGAGAACAAAAATTTTTTGAATTTTTCAGTCAATTTCTTGGACACAGAAATCAAAATAGGCTTCAACAGATAAGTATGAATAGCTAAGAACAATCAACATGGCCTTCGAAATTTAAATCAGACGTGAAATCCACGCAATAGACAAGTGAATCCAAACTGAAACTGTTAGATTCTTTAAGCTATCTTTAAGTCTCCTCGAAAAACTAAAATTTACGCCTTCCCTAACAAAAAAAAATCACACGTTTATCTCGATTGATGCTCAATTTGAGGAAAACATGTCAACAAACACAATCACCAGAAATAAATAAGCCTTCACGCAGAGAGGAAACGGAGCTTCGCGCTACTTGCCTTACAAAATATAAGCCAGTGTTCAGGAGTAAAAAAAATGACTGCAACAAAACTTGCGACATGTTTTTGTTTATCGAAAACTTCTAAGTATTTCCAGAGCAGGCACAACTTTGCCAACCAATTTATTCATGAAGTTCATTTGACAAATCGAGCCAGGCAAAACAATTCTGTTTTGAAAAGTGAGAAAGTTTTACGAGAAAATTTTACGATCAGATCAAAATCATAATTCAAAAATATTTACACAGAGGCGAAGCGGAGCTTCGCATAACTTTCAAAACAACAAATGGACTAGAAAAAGATACGTGCATAACACAAGCGAAAAAAAATTGAAAATCGAAAAAAAAATTACAAAAAAAGAAAAAATTCGAAAACACGATCACTAGCATTAAATAAGCTTTTATTAGTTACGGAGCGGCAAAACATCCGACAATACGTGGGTAGACGATCATTGAGCCGAAAACAAAAAAAATACCATAGGAAAATGTTAACATAAAAATGGTAAGCAATTGTGTTTTAAAACTATGAACTTTTACACCAAAACATGAACCGAAACTACTTGGACCTTAAGCTTTTATTTTTAATATTTACCAAAAAAAATACAGCGATATGCAACTAAGCGGACAAAACAAAAGCAAGCAAACAAAAACTTGACACTTCAATTTTTCAAGGGGAAAAATTTTCAATTTCATACAAACTGAAAAAAAAACAGGTCTGGTCGGGACCCGAAACACACTTGACCAAGAGAGAAGGCGCATGGGAGTTATTGTCGTTTCATAATGACTGAAAGTCTATTTTCTAAAATGTAATGCATACGGAAAAAGTCTAGTTCCCTATTACAAATACACTTGCTCTCAAAGAAAATATAACACAAAGGGAAAGCTGAGCTTCGCACCACTTGCGATACAAAACAAGAAAGCCGCTAAGTCGGAAAAATTAAAAACGTCGAAAAAAGGTCTATCAAAATGAATAAGACTAGTTTTGAAAAAAAACAAGCCAAGCCAAGCGGTAACAAAGACAAAAAGACCTGAGCAGAAACCGTTAAAGCCGAAAAAAAACTAACAAGACTTAGGACTTATAAAAAGTTAAGAAGAAGTCCCCCTCGCCCTCAAAACACACACAAACATTAAACTTTACTTGCTTGTCATGTGAATCAATATTAGGCAAATAAACCGATATAATATAGGCCGACACCTATTAAGCCGAAAAATGAAAATAATTACGAAAACACGAAAACAAAAAAGAAAAAACTCAAAATCAGACATGGTAAATTTACAAATTTGTGAAGTTTCAGTTTCAGTAAAAACTGTTTAAAAAGTTAACCAATAAAAACCCTACAAGATAAAAAAAACATGGCCTTGAAAAAAACGGAAAATGAACCGACATAATTTAGGACTAGAAGTGAAGATCCACTAGAAGAGATCCTGTGGACGCAGTTGTTTACGGGAAAAATTCTAATTCCTGATATCGCAAGGGTAACCAGTAGAAAAGATTCGAACCCCAACACTTGACATCAGATGAAAAACTAAATAAAAAAATCATTATGTGTTTCAGGTATTGACCTCAGCAGTGTTAAGGGAATTTTCTTCACTCTCATGTTTGGAGTATTTCTGTCCGTATTCACAGTCTGTGGCGAAATGTGGATGGTCAGAAGCTGCAACATTCAACCGAACAGAGAGACGATTGAGGATGAGTCGTTGCCGGACCCTGCGCAAGCGCGATTAAATGACGATTCTTTTCCATTTTTCAACACCAATCGCCACCCGGTGGAAAATGGAGTGTGGAAAAAGAGCATTCAGTATACTGAAGTACCAAACGAGGGCACCAGTAATTTATACAACGGAATATATGCCACACCATTTAGCCCAAAAATGAATGTTACTGTTACACAAAATAACCACTACCAACTGCAGCCCTTTTACAATTTGGGCAATAGCAGCTTGCCTAATGGTAGTTTCCAGCCAAATCGGTGGAATTATGGTCAAATTTTTGGATCATTGGATCTCATAAATGATCAAACAACTATGCCTCTGAGACCCAATGCAATGCAAAGGAGACTAATTGAATCGCAAAACAGCGTGGATCACAATGGCTACCAAATAAATTCTGCAACTAGTAATGGCGTGCACCGTCACCACAGCGTTGCAAAAACAAAAGAAAATGTTTCGGCGATTTCCACCGCTGAGCCAAAGCTGATATTTTACAACAGATGAAGAACAACTTTTCAAACTGCTCGAGAGCACAATTGCAAACTCATTTTTAGAAAACGCTATTTAAAATAAAATCCAAGTACTTTTTTTTTCTTATTCAAAGCGTGTCCTCTCATTCAAAATTTGTACGTTCGGTCATGAGCATGCTAGTTAGAGCACATATTTATGCAAACGCTAAGCTACCAGTCTATTTAGTTCAATTAGTAGCATTGAATGCAAAGAAAGAATCTTACGTTTTTCACACTCCATGTGATGGAGCCAAGTGTGTAGCCTCTCAATACTGGAGCACTCTGAAAATGTACAAACACTTTAATTGACCCAAGATTTAAGTTCAGCTTGCAAAACAAGAACAAAATTTACGAGCACAGGCAAATGTGATACTGTTCGTTCATCGGTTTCCGATACTTTGGGCAGCTCCTTGTACGCTTTAGCGTTCAACCGTTTCCAAATTACCATTCCAAGCCAAATACTAGAACCAAAAATAGCAAATGTAGTCAAACCACAACGCTGTACTTTATCGATGAATGAATCACTAATAACAGCCATGTTGCACCTGCAAATATATCTACATAATAAAAACTTTTTCGTTCATGTATTACATTCTAACTTGCAGTCGGCAGTTAAATAACTGATTTGATAAAAAACCATCAGACTTTTAAAAATGTTTCAAACGTTTCCGTCTATTTTGTGCATCGTAAGAAGTTTTAAATACCATTTTTAGACACTGATCAACGATCATGAAAAAGTGTCAAAAACATTTTAAAATTACCTTAACAAAATTGCCTAATCAGAATCAAGCAACTGTTACTACGTAATAAAATAACCCAATATTTTTTATGTATCTTGATATATCTAAATGATAATTCGGTGGGTATTCACAAGTACCAAAACGATAAATCAGTCCCATTCGTACCAAAATAAAAAATCAATCGCGATTGTACCAATAATATTCAATCGGCCTAAGACTATTAAGCCGACTACTTTAAGCTCTTGGTTTAAGGTCGCCGGTGGGCGCGCTACGTGCGCGTTGCCGCTTTGCGGCGATAATCGGCTCTAATTTTCGTATAGAGTCCCACCCTCTGTTGGCAAGCTCGCAACACGTTGGCGCGACTGCGGCGGTCACTATTCTGATGTTTAGTTTTCTTCTGTTTGAACAGTTAGAAAATTAATGTAATAATTTGTAAGCTCACAATTCGACCAATCAGACATCGAGTTAAATCATTTTGGTACAAATGGGACAGATTTGTCATTTTGGTACAAATGAACGTTGGTACAAATGGGACATCACCGATAATTCAAATGTTCTCACTTTTTTTAAACTTTAAGCAATATTCAAAAAAAAAGTTTAAACAATATTCACAAAAAAAGATCTTTAGATTTTTCAATAAAAAAGTTTTCAAAAGTTCGGATACGCATTTGACCTTCATCACATCTTTCAGTCAACAAAGTTTTGAAATTTTGTAAATACGGAAAACTTTTAATAGTCAGATAAGAGCATTTAATTTCAGAAATTCTTTCATTTTTTCAATTTCATCTGAGTTTTTTATCTGAAAAAAATGACGGGGCCAACATAGAAACGAATAGATGGGAGGAGATCTTAAAGGAAACGAGACTGTACTCTGACGAGAGTATAATTGCGCTTGATGTAAAGAGACTGTACACTTTATACACTTGATGTTCGGCTCAAAAAGCTATTGAAATAGACATCAAGACATTGTGAGATCACACCAACCATCTAAATTGTCTCGGAAAACTATTTTAAAAATACTAAATTTGGCAGTGGTTCACTCTAAATGCAACGGTTTAAGATATCTACAAAAGACGGTCAAGCCATAAAGCCTTCCGTTGCAGTTACTTAGCCAATTTTTTGCTCAAATAATAAGCACCCGCAATAAGGATTGTAGTACCAAAAGTGACTCTGTAAAAAAGGTGGTCAATGAATATGGGCCCTTCCGTCATGCGACGGTCCGTGCACAGGCTGGATAGGGCCATACCAACGCTATATAAATGTATCGGCAAATTTTTTTTTCGAATAAATCAAGTCGATTTCAACGCATCCAGAGAATTGTCAATTAAAATCTACCCTCTTCGATTATAGCACAGATGGAATTGTCTATGTAGGATGTCCTTTTAAGTTTTTTTTTGCACCCCTTGAAGCAGCGGATTGCACTCCGTAGAAGTGCAAAATATATTTTTTGTTCTTATATAATTTGTTGTTGCCGAGCATGATTCGTTCCGTTTTTTGCTTAGTTTACATGTAGAACAAAAAAGTGACATGTAGAATTAAAGGGGAAGAAAGCAAATCCAGCTTGAATTGGTACCACTCAAGTTGTAGTAACATATCGCAACCCGAATACGCGAGCATCATTCAAAAAACTTGCTTAAGCAGGACATTCTTTGTGAATGATATGGTTAGATCTTTCAGGTGCGATGCTGGGGTATTCCTCAAAGCTGCTATCATATTGCATCCAATTTTGCAATTTACTTTAGAAGAATCAGATGACAATGGAGCTAAATGACAACGGTAATTTGGCCTTCTCGGAGTTAAAAGTACATGAAGACTCACGAAAAAGAACATGCATGTGGTATTAGAAATCCAATGATACCTGCACTATATTTATTTCAAGAAGCTGAGCATTGTTGCATTACAATCGACAAGTCAAAGCCGTCACAATCAGTTGGGTTTTCAAAAGTAACTCAGCATTTTAAAATTTGACAAGCATTGAGGAATAGCGGAAACATTGGATTAACCAATACCCTGGAAAATGAAAGATAGTATCCGAAAATATTAACAAGATCATTGAAGGTAAGAAAATTGCGCAACTCCCCGATTAATAAAAAAAACAAGAAATGACCGAACGGTTCATCTCTGTTTTTTACTCAACAAAATTGATGCAATCTAACACAATTTTCAGCTGAAGAATTGCAGCAAATTTCCAAGTCTCAAATAAGTTTCAACAACAAAAAATTGAAAACATGGTTGCTTTCACTCAAAACTTCTTTCGAAAAGGCATTGAAACCCAAAGTGCTGTGTAAACTCACTTCTACTGAATATAACTCCATTTATATCTGTGCTAGTCGGTCAAAATGTAAGTTTTCATTTTGGATATAATTTTTTAAAAACTCAAGTAGAGCCAGTCATGCCTGATTTTTTTGCGACAACTTAAAATCAGAACTCAAGATCACAACGGGAGTTCTGAAAACTCATAAAAAGTTGTGCATTAACTCACTGTAGACCAGTTGTAGATCGCAATTGGCAGATCTAAATAGCTACGGGAGAGTAAAGTTGTTTGCTTACCGACATCGTAAAGAGTAAAAACTGCATCTAGATAAAGAGTACAATATCGCAGGGAAACCTTCCCTGTCATTTGACCTAGTCGTCCAAACTCGTGAAAAACTTTACAAAACTTCTTGATCTAGTTAGTTAACTTGATCTTGATTGAATTATATACTTGACTTAATTTCATCGTTCTTATCGTGTCTTGAATTAATGAATTTATTTACAAGAGCTTGTTTTACGTGTTTATGTTGAGATAAGGTGAGTTTCTAAGTTGATCGATCCTGAATGGATCCAGCACACACTGTCTTAAAAACTGAAAGTGAAAAAGTATTTAGAAAAATGTAACAACGACCTTTACCCGACCCTGATTTTAACGGTGTTCTTGTGTTGTAGGTTTTAAGAGATTTGATCATTTGGCCGATCTATTCAATTCGTAGAATGCGGTGTGATTTTGGTACTGGTTTTTAAACAGTAGCACGATCTTGAGTTCCATAACTACCTCAGCCGTTGATTGACTCCGACCGATTGAGCCAGAGATAGAGCCTTTAAGGCCCTTGAGCCAATGGCTATAGAGCCTATCAATCTTTATCTCAAATGTGACATACGGGAACGATTGTTGTAGTCGACCATTCAGTGTGGCTTTTAGCCACGAGGATTGACGAAAATCGCAAAAAGGACATTGCAAAAACGGGACAAGGAGGTTAGCAGGACTGCTGAGTTGAAATCAGATATTAAAGACAAAACAAGCAACATCCATTGGCAATATTCACTACTTGTCCACTAAAGACGATTTGGAGGGAAAAACAAAAATCAACACGCGCGATATTTTCAGGCGCCTGAACAACCAAGAAAGCTCTAGTCCAAGTTTAAGTATAGCTAAAATAATTTCAGGTAGCTGAGATGTCAGATTAAAGAAGAAAATAATTCCGAAAAAAAAATAAATTAATACGGAAAAAGAACAAGAACTAAGAAGGCTCGGCAATTTATAGGAAAATGTTTTATTGATTGCGTAATTAAATTGTAACTAGAGTTATCTAACTTTGATATATCAAAACTTTTCAAATATTTCATTATGACATATTTAAGTTTTGTTTTTGTTGGATAAATTCGAAAAACTGTAAAAACTGAATTACATAAATAAACTTTAGAAAAATTTAAAATTTTATATTTTTCTAATACAAAATTGGGATAATTACGAATTTATAAAATCAATGATCTTACTCTATTTTTCACGCTCAGTTGTTTTATGTCGGAACAAAAAAACTACCCCAGATGAAAGTTTTGCAAATGTAAGTCAGATATTGCTGAATAAGCATTAAGCGATTGGTGAAAGATGATAATTATTACAAACAATGATAAACAATCTGAAAAAATGGAGATAAAGTCATGCTTTTTTTCTTGGTAATCTTGAATTTTTTCCATGATAACTTAACACTGGTTGCCACTGATGAATCTTCTTAGATAGACAAAAGAAATTAGTTCTTGATTGTGATTTCTCTCAAATTTAGAACAGTTCCAGATCTATAAAAAGAAACAAGTTTTTATGTAGGAAACGTTATATCGTTTGACAAACTTTTTTTTTGTTTCTTGTACACCGGAAAAAAAAGTAACGCACTTTGAGAAATTGAACCGAAAAAAAAAAGAATTTTTTGCAAAAAAAATTTAATTATTCTAATGTAAGTTTGTGCTCGCAGGTTGTGATGCACCTATTCCATTAAGGAAAACCTCAATAAACTTTATGAATTTCACAAAAAGCAAATCTATTTTGACAGCTCTAAATAAAAAGTTTTAAGCTTTTTTTGCAATATTTTCATGAACCGCGCAAAAAAATGATGTAAAGTTGAATCTCTCGAAAAACAACATGATTTTTTCAGTACGTGCTGGTATATTTGGGATCCAATTTGATTCAGTGTTTTGACACTTTTTTTTGCTTACGGTTGCCGATAAAAAATCATCCTTTTTTTTGCAAATTCAGAAGTTTCAACATTTATTTTTTTCGCAGAACTTGATGATCTATGGAGTCAGAAGTTTTGGATCTTTAGACTTATCTCATAATTAGATAGCAGCAAAATTATCAATATCCATCTCTTAACTAAATGAGTTGGTGCAGATTAAAATTTCATCAATTGTTGAATAGGATGTTCTGATACAGAACTGAATAGTGCTTGGTAAGTTTTGCTGATTTTTTTTTCAATTAATTGATTTTGAAAATTTTCTCGAATACTCTAATTATGCTTCTGTTGTTGGATTGGATGTATAGTTCTTGAAAAATTCA